CTCTTATACATTTCTAACTGAAGTCTACGCCTGCACTTTCTGAAGTGTATAAAGGAAAGTAAACTGTCAAATGTATTCGCATCTGTTCACTGCACGGCGACACTAGGGCATTGAGTAACGTAGCAAGTTGCAGGAAAAATATGCAAATAATTCATCGTTTTATCTTTGACCTACTTCGTCTTATCTGACTAATAATAACATTTAAGATCAGCGAATATGTATTTCGAAGCCATACAACACTTTACATCACTGCTATTTCATCAAATACGTTGTTTACAATATGCTAAACTTAAAATAGGGATGATTGAGTGAAATTGATTTACACGGGATCTTGTTTTGTTTAAAAAAAATATTGATTTTGAAGTGCATAAAGGCTAAGGAGTATTGCTCATTAAACTTTCATCTTGAATAGATCTGTTTTTGAATTGTTTGCAATTACTCACAGCTCGAATATGATTTTCAACAATACTGTAAAACAGCAAGTAGTATTTCAAAACAATTTCTTTTAAAATGTTCATGGCTATTCAAAAGAAGGTAGACACGCTTACGTCAGTAATTTGTAGCGTCTCGACAAGATGTGAATACCTTCTTTTTACGAGTTTTTTAAATTTAAAAGTCAAAGACACAGGATGCTAGTATGACTTGAGTTACATGTAGTATAAAAACTTGTTCAAATCGTTATGTGAATTGAAGACTGATTGTAACAATATCAATACCTGATCATTACATTATACCCCTTTTATTTCAGAACGACATAAGTATAGAACGTATCATTATTAATATTCTTTTTTTTTCATTTCAATCCACTGGATGTTAACCATCTCGGAGACCTTGAGGATGTTTCCTTTTATTGATATAGGGTATTCAATACAATTGTTTCTATCCACATGCACACAGATATTCTCATATCAACCTACATTACATTTTAGCGTATACCTGCTGAAATACACTTACAACCTTAAACTCATTTCCAGCCGGTGGCAAGTCAATTTTGTAAAGTCATCGGTCCAATAGTTGTTGTTAACTTTACTTGAATATTTAACTCGGTATTTCTAAAGGAAAACTTGATCTCTTTCTTAATTCGGAAAAAACAAGTGTTTGACATCACACGCTTGACGGCCCAAAATACCATTACAACCAACATCCAAGCGTGTTTTCACGACAACAAAGGACGTAAAATCATTATTGTTTTTTTCATCTTTGCATTTATTAAATATTTTATGATTTCTTATGGATAGGCCAAAAAAGCAGATTTGTTGGCTTCCTTTTTGTAAGTTAATACGAAAGAAATTCAGAAAGGGACACACATTCCTAGATAGATAGCTATCTTTTTTACGAGAGCGACAACAGTATATGTAGCTCCAAGTGTTATTTACTCAGACTCATTCCAAGAGACGATAACAGTTGCATTATTGACAAATTTAATGTAAGATGCAGAAGACATATCAGTTGGTGGTTTCGTTTCACGTAAATGTACCAGCTTTGCACTGGCTGCACATCCAGGTAAAGGGTTTTAATGTTAAAAAAATACCTACAATTACCTCCACTTAGAAATTGTGTACTCGGGCGGAGGTGAGACGATATTGATGTTCTCCTGGCAGTAAGTGGTGGATTTGCCAGTGTTGGACTGCAAGCATTCGATCAAGCACTGATGTTCCTCATATAGCCTAAAATGTTAACTCTTATTTTGGATAGGAAGTGGGGCATTTTGATATTTAAACTCAAGTTGTTTTACGATTCAGTGACGCTATTTAACCATGGCCAGCATTAAACACAGAATAAATCATTATCGTGCAATCATTTATGGATATCTTATTTTGATGAGATATAAAATAGGTTCTAAAGTGAGAAATAATATTGTCATATAAATAGAAGGAATATTACGAAAGTCTAGAAAAGTTGAATGGATTTTTTTTAGTTGCGTTATTTCGTGGATTAAAGCGTAAAAACGCCTTCCACAAGTCGTAATAAAGCCTTTTAGAAGTCGTTTTACGCGAATTAGGTCGTAATAACGCCTTTCAAAAGTCTTGATAACGAGTATAAAGTCGTAATAAAGCCTCTTAGAAGTAAAATACAAAATAAGATAAACAATTTCAGATTAAATTCATGTGATATTTAATTTCAAGTAAATATTACTTGCAAAATCGACATCATCAATACCATCACATAGTTCAGAATTTGATAAGATAATTCATTTGTAGTTGAATTCAGTAGTGTGATTTGCAACGGGTGGACAGACTGGTTGGGAAATTACTTAGGTCTATCTTAAGTAGCGGTCTGTAACACTTTTCTATTTTTTGGTCGATGTCTGTAACACTTTTGTATTCATAGAACGAGGTATGTACAATTTAACAGAATTACAGATCCGTCACATAATGCCGCTCCTTCAATCAAGGCTGGAAATTAGCACCGGTCATATAATAAGTCGTAATAACACCAAAGAAGTCGTTATGAAGACAAGCTTGTTATGAAAAACAAACAAAAAAACAGATGTCCGTGTTTTCGTTTTTGTGCTTTGATCGGTCAAAGATACAGAATGTACTTAATTAACATCATATGTGATTTTAGGTTGCAGAAAAATGAAGGCAATATCTTCCTAGTGTGTTATCAAATATGTACGAATGTTTGCATAATTGATAAAAATAGTGTTACTTTAAATAATGAAAGTAGAACTTCTGCACCTTTTTCTTTTAACTCAAGAAAGCAATTTAAGTTACCCCTACCCCCTATTTTTTAATGAAAAAAAAGCACATTTTATCACCACTTTTTGCAGATTTAACATTTGCATAACTTTTTTAAATATCTAATGAATCAAAAGAAAATGTTTTTCTCTTTCTTAAACATCCAAAACATGGGGGTCCGTCTGTATTTTTTTTGTCCCATTATTATTTGTATTATTTTTCACCTTTTTCGGGGTCAAAAATAAAAAGTGCTTCAATTATACCGAATATGTAAAAAAAAAACATACCAATTATGTATGATTTTCCACATTGTTGCATATTATTTCCATCATATTGAACATTATGAAGTTGTACAGCAAAAATGAACTTGCTAAAATTAAAAATGGCGACACAATGACAATTTAAGGGATTAATCTAGTGTCAACAAAGGTGTTTGCCACGTGTAAAGCGTAAACAATACACTTTTTCAAAATGTCCGTCGAATTGTTCTTTTCTTAATTCTTGTGAAAACAACTTCCTCAAACAACAGGCATCTAATTTTCAGACACATTTGTTAGATGCCTGTTTGCTATTATAATTGTTCATACATTTTTAAATATAACAAAAATCTGTTACAAAAAATAGAAACGTGATTTGAACGTGAATTAAACGTGATTTAAGCCTCAGAAGAGTACATCCTTAACCAGCAAGAAATACTTAATTAATTAGCAATTCTGCATGAAACTATAATCATCAACATTGAGACGCATGAACTTGTACCGTAACAAAGGGTATTCGGATATCACCGAAGTGGCTTTGTTTGTACAGAATGAACTTGTACCGTAACAAAAGGTATTCAGATATCATCGAGGTGGCTTTGTTTGTACAGAATGAACTTGTACCGTAATAAAGGGTATTCAGATATCACCGAAGTGGCTTTGTTTGTACAGAATGAACTTGTACCGTAATAAAAGGTATTCAGATATCATCGAGGTGGCTTTGTTTGTACAGAAGAAACTTGTACCGTAACAAAGTGTATTCAGATATCATCGAGGTGGCTTTGTTTGTACAGAAGGAACTTGTACCGTAACAAAGGGTATTCAGATATCACCGAGGTGGCTTTGTTTGTACAGAATAACCTCGTACAGTAACAAAGGGTACTTAGATATCATCGAGGTGGGTTTGTTTGTACAGAAGGAACTTGTACCGTAACAAAGGATATTCAGATATCATCGAGGTGGCTTTGTTTGTACAGAAGGAACTTGTACCGTAACAAAGGGTATTCAGATATCATCGAGGTGGCTTTGTTTGTACAGAATGAACTCGTACCGTAACAAAGGGTATTCAGATATTATCGAGTTGGCTTTATTTGTACAGAAGGAACTTGTACCGTAACAAATGGTATTCGGATATCATCGAGATGGCTTTGTTTGTACAGAAGGACCTTGTACCGTAACAAATGGTATTCAGATATCACCGAGGTGGCTTTGTTTGTACAGAATGAACTCGTACCGTAACAAAGGGTATTCAGATATCATCGAGGTGGCTTTGTTTGTACAGAAGGAACTTGTACCGTAACAAAGGGTATTCGGATATCACCGAGGTGGCTTTGTTTGTACAGAAGGAACTTGTACCCTAACAAAAGGAATTCAGAAATCATCGAGATGGCTTTGTTTGTACATAAGGAACTTGATCCATCAGATAAATTACAAGGATACCGGTGGATGTACTTAAAAGGCGTTCAGTCAGGACTTAATATGCCGAGGAACACCGGTATATTTATACCTTCAAAAAAGTCTAATCCTGTTTATAATGGCAACACAGTTGTGCTTTTTTGAAAATATCATGAACTCATATTGCCTTGCCACGACGAAAAATCAAAAGGCCGTAAAAGCCAGAAATACATCTTGAAAATAGATGCCTTGTATACGTGTATGACTGTAAATTGTAAATGTCAATCTGTCATCATACTTTAAAACACGGATATGATGAGTTATAATAGCATCAGAGTCCAATGCATAGTTTTCTCCAAAAATGTTATTTCATAAATTTTCACTTTTCTAATCCAGTAACACAAAAATCCATTATCCTGACAAATAATACGTGAATTTATTTTATTTTTCAGATAGAAAAATCTTATCACTTCAACGATTTCATTCCTGAATGGGATTTTTATCAAAAGTCATACTCAAGTCAAATATGATGATTTATGATAAAATGTTCAGTATCAGTTATTAAGGATAAAGCCTTCTTGTGTCTGTTACCTGAACCGTGAAGGAAAGGCTTGGATGAAAAATCAGTACCAAATTTTGCCTTTTAACACCTTTTAAGCCCCAGAAACGAAACGTTGATGTTGACATATTTATTTTGTTACATACATAGTTAAATTCACTATGAGAGATTGAGGTTGCAAAATAAGGTAATACGAGGATATGCATTCTTAGTCACTGTTGTGCACTGGACGGGATTCATATACTTTGCAGTGCTTTGATTTTTTCACGTGTATTGCCTTATTTATGACATGTGTTTTATCAGTTTCCGCTCGCTTACACTCCTATTCATTCTTAACTACATTGAGATTGTTACAATAACACGTACATCAAATATCCATGTATGTGTTAACGACTAACCATACAATGCATTTAATTTGCCATGTAATTGTATTTAATTATCGCCATTGATGTTATTCTTTTTTGTATCTTCTCTGACTCTGTGTCTATGCTAGTCATATCACACACAGCAATAGCCTACTAGTGCAAGGCCTCGATCCTTTCTCATCCATCTGTGCATGTTACCTGGGGTATGAGGCTGTAGCTTGACATTACCAAGTGTGAAGCCGTCTATTTTGGATAGTAATCGATGACAGGTAAGAGTCTATACACTTTATATATTTCCTCATTATCCTTTATGTTCTGTGTTGATGATGAAGGCGATGTAAGTATAAATATATCATCTTGGGTGTTTTCATATCTTTTGTTCATCTTTAAGAGAAGTCCCGAAATAGGGAAATATGACAGGGGTAACTCTGGCGTGCGAGGAAAATAGGAAGCATTGTTCTCCGTCATAGAATGATCATAATTCAATCAATCACGCTATTGTATGGTATAGATATAAAATATCATTTTCTGAGATTGATAACTACCACTAATAAGAAACTAGATCATAAGTCTCCATATCTTTACTAAATCTCACTTTTATTTCTCTTCTTAATAGCACTTCGGCGATATGGCGTGCTATTTTGCAACAGTTTCCTGGTTTTTGGAGTATATTATTTCTTGCAAATTCCGATCTGTCTACAAAACGAGATCATGAATAGCTATGTAAGTATCCTTATTAGCACGACGAAGATATATATAGGTCACAAAACTCCATTCACCGATTGAGTCTACTACAACACGACACAAACTCTATGGGTGACGGTCACATGTCCATTACACCACACACTGCTCTGTGTGCACGACGATATTATGTCTACATCAAAACACATTAATGGTGTAACGATATGGTTTCTAGAACACAATACCCCACTTTCACTAAGGATAGTGACTAACATGGTACTGTTTAGTAGTACATTAACTAACACAACACCCCGTGAATGACATCGATGTCTACAATTGAGTGACGGTAATATTATTGGCATACACAAATACACCATTATAGTTTAGGTAAGCGACGATCAGGTGTCTAGAACACAGCACTAAACAACCTAGTGAAAACCTAACTTATATCATACCACGATACACAACTCAGTGAAAACCTAACTTATATCATACCACGATTCACACCTTAGTGAGGACCAACTGATATCATACCACCATACACCACTTAGTGAGGACCAACTGATATCATACCACGATACACACTTAGTGAGGACCAACTGATATCATACCACGATACACCACTCAGTGAGAACCAACCGATATCATGCAAGGATACACCACTTAGTGAGGACCAACTGATATCATACCACGATACACACTTAGTGAGGACCAACTGATATCATACCACGATACACCATTTAGTGAGGACCAACTGATATCATACCACGATACACACAACTTAATGAGGACCAACTGATATCATACCACGATACACCACTTAGTGAGGACCAAATGATATCATACCACGATACACCACTTAGTGAGGACCGACTGATATGATATCACGATACACACCACTTAATGAGGACCAACTGATATTATACCTCGATACACCACTTAGTGAGGACCAACTGATATCATACCATGATACACACCACTTAATAAGGACCAAATGATATTATACCACGATACACACTTAGTGAGGACCAACTGATATCATACCACGATACACACCACTTAATGAGGACCAACTGATATCATAACACGATACATCACTTAGTGAGGACCGACTGATATCATAGATTGTACCATGATACACCAGTTAGTGAGGACCAAACTTATACCTTACAATGATACACCACTAAGTGAAGACCAAACTTAACTCATACCATTATACACCAATTAGAGAGGACCAACTTGCATACCATGACACACAACTAATAGATGACCAAACTTATAGTTGTGGGATCGCACAACGTTACACGATGTGCGGTGTGCGCACGATGTGTGCACGGTGTGTGAACGGTGTGTGCACGATGGGCGAACGATAAAAAGCTGAACGATCATTGCTTGCGCACATATGTGCGCACGATGGACGGACGTTGTGCGATAACAATCGTGGTTGGTGTAAATTGAGGAATGCCTTAACAATTTATACGGTTTCGTGTTTAAACATATAAACTTGATGTTTACGTATGTTTCTATATTCTAGCAACATCTATAAACTTATCTTTCTGTCTATACATTCTTATATTTAGAAATTGTGTTTTCTGTGTTTTTAAACAAACTTAATCGACACATGTAAAATTACAACACAATCCCGTATACAGGTAAACATAACCACTTTGTACATGTACCTGGACCGTAGTTTTCTCCCCGCCTGGGGCACTTACGTAACTCGTCGGGTAAGGCCGGGGGTGTGAAAATCCAGGTGAAGGGGAGCTATAGGCAAACGAATGCAAATAACAAATACTATTCATTACGGTCAAACGGTATCGCATATCAGCTCTGTGTGTCAGGCACTGGTCAGGTAAAACTCCGGACACTCATAAAATTGTTATTTACCTGTTCTGTTACCTTGGAGCCAAACCCATTCTTGACAGCCTAACGGTCGCTGTAATACTGTGTAACACGCATTGTGAAATTGTATAATCTTGATTATTGTGATGAGAAATTACAGATATATACACAGTGTACATTATCGCATACAAGCCTTCCGTATTTTTGTCATTCCGTAATTTTGATCTACAAATGATACCAAATCGCACAGTTGTGCGGAGAGAAGCGCACAACGGGGCGAACGATTACTAAATCGCACAGTTGTGCGCACCATGTGTGGACGATGTGCGGACGGTGTGTGAACGATGTATGCACGGTGTGCGCACGCTATTTTTGGTGCGTTGTGCGGTCCCACAACTGTATATCTTACCACGATACACCATTTAGTGAAGACCAAACATATACCATACCATGATACACCACTAAGTGATGATCAAACTTAACTCATACCATGATACAACAATAAGTGAGGACCAACTGATATCATACAATGAAAAACAACTAATATATGACCAAACTTATATCATACCATGATGCACCACTTAGTAAGGACCACTCTTGTATCATACCACGATACACCATTTAGTGAGGACCAACTGATATCATACCACGATACACACTTAGTGAGGACCAACTGATATCATACCACGATACACACTTAGTAAGGACCAACTGATATCATACCACGATACACCACTTAGTGAGGACCAACTGATATGATACGACGATACAACACTTAGTGAGGACCAACTGATATGATACCACGATACACACTTAGTGAGGACAAACTGATATTATACCACGATACACAGCTTAATGAGAACCAACTGATATGATACCACGATACACACTTAGTGAGGACCAACTGTTATGATACCACGATACACCACTTAGTGAGGACTGACTGATATCATACCACGATACATCACTTAGTGAGGACCAACTGATATCATACTACGATACACCTCTTATAGAGGTCATCATTAATATTTAACCCACGACACATCACTTCCTGAGTTATTATGTGAAGTACACAGATTTGAATACAATGACTACAAAGTGGTTAAACTCTGTAAGGATTTCTCACCCTCTGTTATACACATGTTTTTCTTGTCGTATTTTCGTGTCGTCATTTCCGTATTGCGTATCGGGAATTCCATTACCGCAGTGTAAATTATAGTAACACCGGGTAAACAATAGTACACGTGCGTGACGCTGATATGTGAACACATGATATCGAGACTTAACTTCGAAATATGTAATCACACGTACTTCAGAAATAAAGCTTATGATACAAAGACATTAATTAACTCAAGGGAAGACACTGAATTAGTGAGGACCAACTGATATCATACAATGAAAAGCAACTAATATATGACCAAACTTATATCATACCATGATGCACCACTTAGTAAGGACCAAACTTGTATCCTACCACGATACACCATTTAGTGAGGACCAACTGTTATCATACCACGATAGACAACTTAGTGAGGACCAACTGATATTATATCACGATACACCACTTAGTGAGGACCAACTGAAATTATACCACGATACACAACTTAGTGAGGACCAACTGATATGATACCACGATACACACTTAGTGAGGACCAACTAATATGATACCACGATACACCACTTAGTGAGGACCAACTGATATTATATCACGATACACAGCTTAATGAGGACCAACTGATATGATACCACGATACAGCACTTAGTGAGGACCAACTGATATGATACCACGATACAGCACTTCGTGAGGACTGGCTGATATCATACCACGATACATCACTTATTGAGGACCAACTGATATCATACTACGATACACCTCTTAAAAAGGTCATCATTAATATTTTACCCACGACACAACACTCCCTGAGTTATTATGTGAAGTACACAGATTTGAATACAATGATTACAAACTGGTTAATCTGTTTAAGGATTTCTCACCCTTCGTTATACACATGTTTTTCTTGTCGTATTTTCGTGTCGTCATTTACGTATTGCGTATCGGGAATTCCATTCCCGCAGTGTAAATTATAGTAACACCGGGTAAACAATAGTACACGTGCGTGACGCTGTGAACACATGATATCGAGACTTAACTTCGAAATATGTAATCACACGTACTTCAGAAATAAAGCTTATGATACAAAGACATTAATTAACTCACGGGAAGACACTGAATTAGTGAGGACCAACTGATATCATACAATGAAAAACAACTAATATATGACCAAACTTATATCATACCATGATGCACCACTTAGTAAGGACCAAACTTGTATCATACCACGATACATCATTTAGTGAGGACCAACTGATATCATACCACGATACACACTTAGTGAGGACCAACTGATATGATACCACGATATAACACTGAGTGAGGACCAACTGATATGATACCACGATACACCACTTAGTGAGGACCAACTGATATTATACCACGATACACAACTTAGTGAGGACAAACTGATATGATACCACGATACACACTTAGTGAGGACCAACTGATATGATACCACGATACAGCACTTAGTGAAGACCGACTGATATCATACCACGATACATCACTTAGTGAGGACCAACTGATATCATACCATGACACATCACTAGCAGATACCCAAACATTCATCATACCATGATACACCACTTAGTGAGGACCAACTGATATCATACTAGGATACACCACTTATTGAGGTCATCATTAATATTTTACCCACGACACAACACTCCCTGAGTTATTATGTGAAGTACACAGATTTGAATACAATGATTACAAACTGGTTAATCTGTTTAAGGATTTCTCACCCTTCGTTATACACATGTTTTTCTTGTCGTATTTTCGTGTCGTCATTTACGTATTGCGTATCGGGAATTCCATTCCCGCAGTGTAAATTATAGTAACACCGGGTAAACAATAGTACACGTGCGTGACGCTGATATGTGAACACATGATATCGAGACTTAACTTCGAAATATGTAATCACACGTACTTCAGAAATAAAGCTTATGATACAAAGACATTAATTAACTCAAGGGAAGACACTGAATTAGTGAGGACCAACTGATATCATACAATGAAAAACAACTAATATATGACCAAACTTATATCATACCATGATGCACCACTTAGTAAGGACCAAACTTGT